CAGCCAGAAGCGGCTCCACACAAGTTTTTAGTACGGAATCACCATTTTTCGACATCCCGCACAAACAAGGGAGGGGGGGGGACTCATGTAATCGCATCCCTACCATGCCGGGACGGAGAGGGGCGTACTCAGAGCGCGGGGGGTTGCGGCGTATACGCACGAAAAAAACACGACCACATGTGAACGAAATTGCGTGACCGCCTGTTTTTGTTCCCACCGGAAGATGAATCTCTATCTCTACAGCAACCACCCACGGTGCGCGCCAACACTGCCAAAGGAAAACCCGTCCAGGAACACCAGAGCCAGACTACCGTAGAGAGCTAAACGAAGCGGTAAATGAAGGAGTCCAGGGGAATGAATCACGCGGGGATGGGGGGGAGGGCGGGGGGCACAGGCACGTGCGTCCCACGCATACACGGCGACCCGTGACACGTCTTCCACGGCCGCCCACTGCTACACATCATAAACACACGTGGGGGAGGCGACACGTGTGTATAATAGCACGAAGAGACCTACAGCAGTAGCGACATACGCCATCCTTGTCGAGAACAAAAATCTCGCAGGACTCTAGCAAAAAAAAAAAAACAGTTGCAGGTACATTCTCCAGATGTTTCACCACATGCTCTCCGTCCTTGAAAGAACACCGAGAAGACTCTTCCATCCAAAGAACCGCATGCACACTGCTACTGCCACAAATGGCTGTCTGCCTCTCAACTTTTCCTCACCTCAAGGACGCCCGTTTGGTCCAAGCCTAGGAGGGACCCCGCCACCATCTGCGGAAGGCTCTCCGTGCAGTGCTTGATGATTTTAAGGACGGCCTGCACATGCAACAAGACGGAAAGCGGGTGGTTGGAGGTCGAGTTGACATTGCCCGTTTAAAGGAGGTGCGTGCGATCGCCGTAAAGGCACGATCGACTTGTTAGCCTACGCTATGTTTGGTTGAGGGGGGGGGGGTTAGAGACTAGGGTTCTAGGCAAAGATTGCTTGCGCATGTTTCGTCGTCTTGTTGTTTGTGTGGTTGAATCAGAACTGGCTCAAAATTAAGGAATGACAGTTACAAACCGGTGGTACATATTTGACACCATCCATCATGCCTCGAACCCTGGTGAAAGCTTTGAGAAGGTCATCGGACTGCGGCCGCACAACCGCTGCGGAACCAAAGGGAGAAGATGGGGGGGTCTAGTGAAGAGACTCGGGCCAAAGCGAAGCGAGTTGATCATGTGGACAGGAAAACCCATGCATCACGAAAAAGACTTGAGCAAAAACACAGAGGAGTGAAAGCACCGGGATTGCTACCAAGATACCGCCGCCGATGAGACGGAACCAAGAGACCACGACAACAAGCGGTCCGTCTGCACGACGGTAAAGGTCAAATATTGTGCTGACCCAAGCGGCCAGGAGGTTAGCAGATTTGGTACCTGGCTGCTACTTTGCTCGGCTTGGACAAACCGAGCGCATCCCGCCGTGGGCGCTACAGCTTGGGATCAAAAGAGGTACAACAAAAGGTTACCCGTGTCATTATTTCGGGCACGAATCCAAGTAGAAGAGACTCCACTCTAGAGCGACATCTTACATCTCTTCGATCTCTCTTTTTCCCGACCATGGAGCCCTAAGAGCAATAACGGAGCCCGCTGAATACTTGTAGGTGGTGCTCCTTCTTGCCTTGGTGTCGGGAGGCGTTACGGGCGCCGTGGCCGTTGGTTAATGGGCTTCGTCCACATACTACAAGCGGGAGTAGGCGAACGCTTGAAAGAGATTCTTGTAGAAGCGATGTCACTTTGATGGTACGGAACATCCCCATGGGGTGTGGTAGCGTGGGAAACCCGGTGATTGCGTGGTATATGGTAGTATGGATTAATCCAGGCTGTGGAAGGTTCCCCTGTTGGTACATTGCGTCGCCCCCGGAATCAGGCGAGTGTGATAATATGGTGTGATGGGGGCGTAAGGAGTTGGCTCTGGTCAATGCGGTACTCTTATCTTGCCATCACGTGTACCACGGGAACCACATTGACCAGAGCCAACCCGACACCCCCCATCATCACACACCCCAAACGTTGACGCACTATGCACGCACGCACACACCCCTCGACGATGGAAGTGCTCCGGTTAAAGATGCGGGAGGCGCGTGTGGGGCGGGGATTGGCTGCCACTGAACCGGAGGTGGGCGTGGGGGGTGCTGCTGGTGTTGCATTTCTTGGGGGTGGTATGTCGACAGACACCAGATCGCTTGTTGGTGTCCGCGGCTGTCCGCCGGCGCTGCTCCTGTGTCGTAGTACTATCTCCCGCCATGCTGCTATGTTACGTGTTCGCCTGCCCGCAGGGGCGAGCACACACGGGGCCCTTGGCTAGGAGCAAGCGGCTGGGCGCCGGGCTTGTTCGTTGCTCCCAGAGATGGCCTCCCTACATGCGTACGTCCACGTTGGTTGTGGCCGGCACAACACACTTCTACTCTCACACCGGTTCGGCGGCATGGATCGGCGGATCGTTACACTGAGAGCGGTACAATCGGGTACAACGCACTCAGTAGTCGTGCCCCTGCGGTGTTGTGGGACGAGCTAGGCGGATAGGTCGCGGTCGAGGGCGAGGGGGGCCTGCCTCCACATATCATCCGGGTGCACCGCCACGGTGTCCTCCCGTCCTCTGCTGCTCATGATGCAAGTCCTTGTCCTGCTCGGAAAGCCCACCGGCCCCATGCTGGGGCCCGTGCGTGCCGCCCGCTGTAACTCTCGTACCACCAGCGCCCCGACGTTACCCCCCACTGCGCTGCAAAACGACGCTCTTCGCTGCCGTAAGACGAGGCATTGTGCGGACGGCACAAGACCCCATGGGTTCGAAGCTCGGGGCGGGTGCGAAGGCGGGTGCGCCTGCTGCTGGTGGTGACACTGCTGCTGCCGCCGCTGCTGGTGGTGCTGCCGTATGGCTACCCTCCGTTGTCCCCTCGTCTTTCCCCCGTCTGCCATGTTCCCACCCCAGCCACCACGGTTGTCATCGCCAGTGACGAGGGCGTACGCCCCCCACTCTCTCCTTTTCATGGCTTTGGCAGAGCACAGCAGCGCCAACGACATCCAACATCCTGTGCAGAGTAACAGCTAGCTGTCGCTCGCGTCGCTGGCCGCAGGCTGGTTCCGGCGAAACTACTGCTGTAGATCTGTAGAAACTGCTGTAGATGCAACTGCTGCGCCTCTCTATGTATGTACATGGCGCTGCAGAGGGAGCATGTGTGACGGCGTCGAAATACTTGTTTCGCGTGCAGTGTGGCGGTTTCTGGTTTCCGGTCTTCATCGCAAAGTAAAGGAGTCAATAGCAGAAGGCAGTGCATAAGCTACTCGGAACAAGGGTCTCAGCAGATGTTTGAGGGGTGCACTGTAGTTAAGCTGCTGCCGACAAAGCATTGCCGAAGGTTACATACTCTGTAGTTGCTGCCTGTACGGGTGTACGGCCACGAGCCGCTCTCTAAAAATTTGAACCTTGAGCCTGTGATTTTGATCTCGAAACGATGGTACGTATAAATGCCTGGAAACAACGTGCAACGCCGAGACCCGGCTAGACAATTGCGGCATCTTCTGCCGACGCTGGTATATCCCCAACACGTCTCTTTCCCGGCTGCCATCTCTCGCTTCTTACCAAGCCATCGATGTGGACCTCGGTTATCAGAGGGATTTCCTCGATAGGTGCTCTTTCCACGGCCTCCGTGCCCCATGCCCCGGACATTGTAGCTGCTGAGGGGTGCTCCACGCGTCCGGCAACACAAGATTCCTTCTGGATTTTTGCTGGTCGATGATGGAGCCCGTGCAAAGGTCAGCCTTGGAGCACAAACAAAGCCTTCGCAACTGCCTTCCTCATACTGCCTTGCAATTTGCAATTGCCTTGGGGGGATCCGTAGACATGAATTATCACCACCCCCATGTGTACAACACGGAGCTCCCGCTGAAAGATCTGGTTGTCATACACCGCTCCACGCATCCTGAACACCACAAGCCGGCACCCGCCGCCTGTGGCATAGATGTGGCCTAGGAGAGGTCTGATGGCGAGAATATCTCTCTTGTGTACGATCACCGGCGGGCGGACGCCGGGTTTGCGAGCCATGGTGCCGCTTCCGCCTTCGTGGAAATCGACCACAACAGGTGCAACAACATTTCAAATGCTTGGCAACCGTGCGCTAAAAACAAAGCCGCCCGAGGCACGCGGAGCGGCAACGACGGCAGCGCCAAGGTCAGCAGGGCCAGCATGGCGAAAGGTTAGCCACGTGTGCAGCAGCGTTGTGTCCGCTCCGGAAGATGTGGAGCAATCGCAACCTCAGCGGTACGAGAGCGAGGAGCAAGAGCGGCAACCGCTGAAGCACCAGCACCAGCATCACCAGCAGCGTGCAGGCACGACTACAGCAGGTGGGGGAGAAGGAGAGGGACGACACGACTCAACAACGAGAGACGAGCGCCTCAAAACGACGCGACGAGCGTTCAAGCCGGATACCAAGCGGATGCTGATCATTCCCGAAGAGGAGTGGCCCAGGTGGGGTGCAATTTCGGAACGAGTTACACATTACACACACACGCGTTTGTTTGCCGGTTGATTCCTCGTGAACAAAGCCTGTGGTTGTAGTATGTACAAAACATCAACATACAATTCCCACGCCGCTCACAGGTACACCTGCATACACCTGTTTTCTGTTTACCAATACCGACCTTGGCGATTGATTGTCGGGCGCTGTTGTGAACTGCTGTGAACCAGTGGTAACTTGTTGCGTGCTTGCCTATTGGTCGAATTGTTGGTGATGGTCCCCATGATGTGATGGTCCCCATGATGTGATGGTCCCCGTGTCCGAATACGCTCGCCCGATCCGGTGCACGCCAACCTATCTATGCACACATGCATACAACCGACGGCGCTGCAGTGGCATCAACCAACTACAGTAACTACTGCTACACACGATGGCTACAGGCCCGCGGTCGCAACCGGGGAATCGTGCACTCTCGCTCTCCGACTTCACACCCGTACCAAGAGGTAGACCGGAACGAGACACAGACCTCTCTCGGTTTGATTGGGTGAAATGATGACGACAACACCGCTAATTTTTTTTGTTCTTGAGTTCCAGCAAGCTCTGCTGGGTCGCTCGCTGGTCGCTGGGTCGGAAAATAGCGGACTTACTTTTCAAGATGAAGAAATCACTCCCGGAGCTGGGCGAGAACCGAACCCAGAGTTCCAACGTTGATCTGTTCCACTCGAGCAACTCGAGGGTAGGGAGATGGAAGATACTGGGTGGTTGTTTCGCTCTCGCTATTATATGCATACATGGGTTGCCACACAGCGCGAGGGAGATGTTTTACACTGGCACACCACACACAACGGGTTCCACAGCCAACTCGGGAGCAAAAAGATCATGTCGTCTCCTTGGTCGCGACCACAGCAGAGCGCCAAGTTGGTGGCAGCCGCCGGCGCCACGAGGTTACAAACCTCCGCAGCATCTCGTCGCTGCTCTCAGTGGTGTTTGCCCCCTCCCGCCGAGTTCTAGGGTGTTTCCCCGGCGTGCGGCTCAGGGGGCTCGCTCAATTACCGCAGCCCCCTAGTTACGCGCCTGCTGTGCATTCCACCGTAACCCTTACCCACAGGCTATTCGTTATTGTGCCGCGCGTACTCAACCCAAGGCAAAAGTTATATGCACCCATGGGTACGCGTATATAGGCCATGCACCCATGCCCTCGACAGACCGAAAACACCACCCGCAGGCGAAAAAAAGGGAAAAATGTTCCGAGCTCCGAACCCCTCACCTTCCCTTCCATGTGTTGCCAACGTGTCCCATCAACCAGCGACTAGTTGATTTTCAGGTAGGCATTTTTTGTGGTTCTAAACACTTCATGCTCTGCTTTGGCTGGGGCACAAAACCGGCTGAAAATCCTAACGCTAACCCTTACCCCAAACCCAAACCCACCCGATAGGTGCTAGGTTGGCGCTGGGTGGCTCAGTTCTAGGTTGTTGTGCCTGCATTAGGGCTAGGCTGGTGTTGACGGGGAAAACTCTAGGTTGTTACTGCTTGGATAGGTGCTAGATTGGCGTATAGGTGCTACAGTATGGGATAAATCTAGGTTAATATTGCCTGGATAGGTGCTACGTTGGTCCTGACGCGGGTAGGTGCTAGGTTGGTGGGCCTTGGAGTAGGCCTAGGTCGCTCTTGGGTGGTAAACGGTGTTCGTGCACGTCTGTATAGGCGGGACTGCCAAGTTGTGGGTGCATGGCTCATGTGCGTACCCATGAGTGCTTTTAATTTTTTCCTCAACCCAAGTCTGGTTTTGAAAAACGCGGTTAGACACACCACACTTTTACGGCCAGAGTTCCTGTGTCTTTCCAGACTTTGTCTGGGTTTAAGGTCTGGGTGCACAATTACGGTGTGAAGACAGGACCTCTAAAAAGTACTTCTAGTTAGAGTAACAAAAAAATACGAGTCTTGGGTTCAAAGCAGAATGCAAACAAAGTAGAAATGGACTGTTAAAATACTGCTGTGCCTTTGCTGTATCAACCATTTGGCTCTCGATCAGATGACGGTTTCCCAAGTGGTTGGTTGGTTGGTTGGTGAGAGAGCAGGCGCAAGTGATCGCAGGGCGGCCGACGCAATGATCCACCGTCCGTTCGTTGGGTTGGGGGCTTTGTGGGTCTGCTGCTGTGTAGCGTTGGAAAGCGGGCAAACACGGGGTGGGGGGCATGTTGTCGGTCGTAGGTTGCGCACGCGTGTTTTGCCCATTCCTTAGCAGCTAGACCACTGACCACGCGTCCTCGAGAAGACGGAACGTCGTTCCCACAGGACCGGTCACCCATGGCCAATCGTTCCTTCCTACTGTGCCAAAGGTGTCTCTAAAATGTGTTCCCTACCCTATCGATCCTATCGATATCACTTCCCGCCTTTCAACCACTTCACTAGCCTAGTGTAGCTACCATCGTATCCGTAAGGGTGTGTGTGAAAACAGAGGATAAGCAAGGGTACAGGATGCGTGCATATTGACGGATTGGTGCGGGGGACATCCCCCCCTGCCACAGACCAGTTGCACACTTGAACGTGCCCGGATCCTGCCCAAAAGGATGTCGGTGCTCTGCAGACAGATGTATGGGTCTCGGGCGAAGGGCTCGTGCGGCAGATCCGAGATTGGCGCGCGGGGGGGCGTGAGGCGCATGGATTTTCGGATTACTTCCAAGTGCAACAACCCGTGTTCACGATAACATCCGGCGGAGCATTGATGGTGATGTATAACCTGCTCCCCTCCCCCCTCAGCGTGCCCTCTACGTTAGCTTCTCTCGTGTCTATTACACCATATCTGATGGCACGTAGGTTGAAAACCTATAACCTTTCCTGGCACCCCCCCCCCCCCCCCCCTCCCCAACAAAAATGGATGCATCCCAGCCACCCCAAATTTTTTTTCCCCCTAAAAACCTAATGCCAAAAAGGAACAAAAGCAAAAACCGGGACTGTGAGCACACCACAAGGACTTGTTCCGGGACCTCCACGTAAATAAA